AGGCAGCATACAAGCTTAATAATAAATAAATAAACAAACAAATAAATAAATAGTCCGGCCCCCCAACATTCTGAGGGACTGTGAACTGGCCCCCTGTTTAAAAAGTTTGAGGACCCCTGAAATAAATAAATAAACAAACAAATAAATAAATAGTCCGGCCCCCCAACATTCTGAGGGACTGTGAACTGGCCCCCTGTTTAAAAAGTTTGAGGACCCCTGAAATAAATAAATAAACAAACAAATAAATAAATAGTCCGGCCCCCCAACATTCTGAGGGACTGTGAACTGGCCCCCTGTTTAAAAAGTTTGAGGACCCCTGATATAGACTATTTTTCCTACCTGAATGTAATATTTATTTTTATTTTAAAATAAAATTGTAGGGCAGACAGCAGGGTTCTCATAGTAGAGTACAAGGCAACCCAGGGTCCAAACCAACACAAAAGACATATGGCAGAATCTGGAAACAAAAACATGACCGAAGTCCAGTCCAAAATTCAAGTTCACAAGGTTTATTATCAAAAGCATGTCAGGGGTTTGAGAAACAAAGAATATCAAGAATCTGGCAATGGCCAAATAATCTAGCTAGTCACAGCTATCATGGCTTCAAGCACTGAAAGTCAGACTATATTTTTTATTTTTCTTCTTTTTGGGAGTTTTTTTCCCCCCCCTCCTTGTTCTCTTCTCTCATTTCAGTGATGCATTTATATTTTTGGGGATTTACACAATGGCAACATGCAGAAAGTCAGGCTATCACAGAAGTTTTTGAGGCACTCTGGCGGGGCTTATGCACTGGAAGTTGTTTGCCTTTATCAATACAGCTGTTGCAATTACAGGTGATTGCAGAAATGGCTGCTCTGGAATAATGACCTACTCTCACATAAATCACTACTCCCACGTGGTTCTTCCAATTAATCTGCTACTCCTCTTTGCTCTTTGGCTCTCAAGATATTGGCAACAAAACTCTCACAGATTTAGAGAGTTAGGGATATGTCACTGTGTCCAGAAAAAAATCAGGAAAGTAACCAGGGATAGTTGACGTCAATTCTATAGCAATCTGCAAGCTGGGCCCTGCTGCTAGGTGTCAGGGTTGTAAGACTTCTTTTTATTTCAGCTCCTGGATTTAACCTTCTTAGAAAAGGATCCATACAAGCAGGCCATGATATGAAGGCAGAATCAAAACGAACAGCAGCAAGAGCAGAATGCCATATTCCAACATAGTGTGTCATTTCAGAATGGCACAATGAAACTGTCTTCATTAAAAGCCTGCCACTACCCACTAAACTCCCCATTTTGGCTCAAAGCTTTAAAAAAATCCATTTTTCCCTGGTACATGTTATTTGCTTTTCCTTCTGCCATTCCCATGGATTAAGCGCTACAACTGAGGTGCAGCCAAATATGAAAGTGGACAGACCACTGGGATGCCAAAGTGAAAGGGAAAATGAGAGGGTGAAAAAAAGATGGAGGACAATTCTATGTAGCTAAAGTAAAAAGCAACATATGATGAGAATTTAAAAGTAGATTTTTTTCAGGTTAAGGATAAAAATAGGCCTTTAATCTGGAAAAGTGAAATCCATGGCCCTAAGCAAGAGGTCCCTGTTTTTTCTTACAATGCCCAGGATGATAAGAAAAGGGAATGAGAAATTTAGACCGTGGATTACTCTTCTGCACAGCAGGACTGAAGCGCTGTTTTTCAGTGCGGGACCCAGCACAAAAACATGTTAGCTTGAGAAGTGCTGCTGACCACACTTAAGACCCCTATTCTGGTTTGGCAGTAGAGCAGAACAGGGGATCCATCTGCACTGAAACTCTGGGGAGGGACACTTCCTTTGGTGGCAGTTAGTGGCAGCAGAAGATGCACTGGGATCTGAGAACTGGCACCCAAGGAGCCATTCTCCAGTGCCTCTCTCCCCCCCCACTTCTCTCCCCACTGCTTCTCCCAGCACACATGGCAAGAGAAACCAGGGGAAGAGAAGAGCCCCCCGCCCCCCAGTGCTTCTCTTGACATGTATGTTAGGAGAAGCAGTGGGGAGAGGAAGAGGGGAAGCAGGTCTTTTCACCCTTTCCTGCAGGAGTGCAAAGCTGCCTTCCTGGGGCACAGGCTGCACGTGGAGGTAATGTCAAAGGGTACTTTCCATAGTGGAAACAGGGAAAAAAAGACTTATTTCCAACAATATGTATTTCCCCCTTTCTCTCCTCTTATTGCTCCTGCCACCCTGGGAGGAAGAATATTGTTTGGGGGCTGAGATTACTGACCCTTGTTTCCCCTCCTTCTCTTTGCATTTTTCTTGCCTATCATGGTGGTAAGTGGGAGAGATAACTGACTCTCCAAGGAGACTGGCACTGAAACCCAGTGACCAAGGCACACGTGCTGGGTGGGCATGCCTGCAGAAGGGGGCCAATAGCAGCAGGGCACATCCTGTCCTGCCCTGAAACTTGCTTCAAGGCACTTTGGGATGGATTGAATGCTTAGCACAGCTTGTGCGGACAGAAATGGTAAAAGCTTCTGAACTGGAACATGGGAAGATAGGCAGAGTCTGCCTTTATAAAGAATCAAGTTAGGGGCCAACCAACAGTTAGTAGGATGTCTTTGCACCAGAGCAAAAAGGATGTGCGAATGAGCAAAATGTCTACATTTTGCCTTGTTTATAAGACCTTTAACCTTCCCCCCCCCCCAAGTATGCATACATTTATAATAAGTAAATCAGTGAGAATTACTCACATGTAAATGAGATTGCCACTCTAGTGTCGGTATCATGGAATTTTTGTGTAACTTGAATCCTCATTAATTTATACTTTTGCAGTTGACTGATTTCCACAATGTTCTGAACAAATGGATGGTCAACCTGCTGATCCACATGGTGCCAGAGTACACCTGTTCTGATACTATCCCCTTGACCGACATGGAAATATCAGTGCAAGCACAACGCAAGATGCTTGAGACTTTGAATCTTGAAAAAGAAGCAATGGGTCTGGCTGCTCAGATGAGCCAGCTTTCCTCTTATCTAGTCAGGTACTATAAATTCTCCTCAGATTTATAGCATCAACGTCTATAAAGGAATAGCTTTGAGGGCTATGAGGGCTGTGATAGACATAAAGTGTACTATAGTGGCTACCTCTAGCTATCAATGGCACTAATAGTATCCACCTCTCAAATCTGCTAGAGGTGATTGCAGCTACATTATGTTTTATGTAGATCAAGAGCCAGCAATCTTTTTGTAACTTTTTTTTAAATTACCTTTTTAAAGGTAATTAAATTTTAGGGTCTCTGGTTAGGATTTTTAACCTGTTTTGGAAGAGTGGTGGTATTTTTAACATTAACCCATGTATTAAGCCTATTAGAGGTATAACATAACTGCTTTATTTTGTGCTGAAATTTGGTGGGAAATTTTGCTTCTAAGCACAGTTTTAGAGGTCACAAATGCATAGCCACAGTTTCCCATAGCTGATGCAGACACTGTGGCCTTTTCTGGCTCTCATTTACTGTACCATCTCTTCCTTCCTTAATAGCTGAGACTCAGTATAAATAAAAGAAAATCTTGTTTGAATTCCACTTTTTGAATTGTGCAAGATAGAAATAATTTTTCTTGTATACAACCTTCAGAACCTTGATTTAGCTCAATCTCCTCATTCCTGGATCTAGACAAATTAGATTCTTCCCAATTACTGTGGTATTCTTATGATGACTTAAAACACTGTTGTAAACTGGATGATATTCTCCATTTCCTCAGTTGCTGCAAAGAAATGGTTTCAGCTGCAACACGTAAGAAACTGGCTATTTCTGACTCTGATGCAGAGTATGAACTGCAACAGTTAGAGAAGATCAAGGTAAAAACGTACTATCCTGTCTTTCCTTAGCTCAGTCCAAATCCTTCCTAAGGTTGCAGTTTTGAGTTAATCTCACAGAATAGCAATCTTAGGATGAATGAGGGAGTACTTTTGTTTGGGCCAATATGATCTATTTTAAAACTGCTACAAGATTTCATTCCTGGATATTGTTATTGCATAGATGGCAGCTTCATAAATAAAGATAATACCGATCGATTCATATTCTCAAGATATTTGCAATATAACATGGGAAGGATGAGAGAGATGAAAATGGCAAGTAATGAACCCTACGGTCACATACCCTTAAAGCCTGACTGTAGATTTTAGCCCAGCAAAGAGGTCCTTATTTGGGACAATGGCATATTTTTTGTGACAAATTTCATGTCACTATTTAGATTTTTTTCTCAACACTTTTTCTAGCAACACCACTCACAAATAAGGTTACTTAGTGGTTATCTTGGTGGTGGTCCTTGACACCAGCTACTTCCAACCACATGTTTTGGGGATTTACTGGTTTCATTCTTGTTTGCTTGACAGCTTTTCACAATTGGTTCATAGGTGATTGTTGCCCATAGTTACTGTTTCCTGGCCCACACCCAGTGCCTGAAAGGACTCCTCCCACCCACTTTATTATCACTAATAATACCACTTTAGGATGAGGTGAGTGCTCTACTTTCTAAAAGGGCTATAGAAACAGTTTCACCTGCTCAGCAGAAGTCATGGTTTTGCTCTGCTTTATGGTACCAATGAAGGAAAACAAGATCCTCCTTGTCCTTGATCCCCATGATTTTTTTAATCCTGGAGTTCTATATGGTTTCTTTTATATTAATCCTTCCCCATTTTAGAAAAGATCATTAGTTCATATTGAGAAGCTTTAAGAATGATTACTTTCCTATTTCCATATTCCTATCTCATCATCTCTTTGGTTCAGGACCGGGGAACAATCTTATTATGTCTATACACTCCCGTTTGGGTAAGCAACTGCCCCTTTGGGCATGAAGGCTATGATTCTTATTGTAGTGCCTTTGTGTTATTGTGGAATAACAGTTTGTCTATTAGACAATGGTTGTTTGTCACTATTTTGCAGCACCATGTAGTGTGTGACTTATAGTATACATGGTCAGCTGCAAGGACACTTACCAACTTTGCCATCAGTGTAGATTCTTCATTGGTGCTCATTTGGATGCCTCTTGACATACAAGAGCTCATCCACAGAGCACAGTAATCCTGTTCCTCCCAAATGATAGGGGATGTTTTCCCACTTTCTTTTGTATCCCACCATGTTTTAGATGTGTGCCATTGGCCAGACTCTTTCATTTTATTTGAACTGTGCCGTATCATTTCAGTTCATTTTCAGTCACCAGGACCCTTGCTAGGACCTCTTAGTTTTGGCATAATATTTCTTGGATTAGCTGTACGCTATGACAAAGTTTTTCTATGTGCTGGTTGGTAATATACCTCCGTCCTTGCTTAAAGGATCAACAAGAAGAATGGTGTCTTCCTTCAGAGTATCAAATCGAAATCCACTTCAGATACTTAATTCCATATGTCCAGGGATCAAGTTCAGTATAGAGCCTGAGAAAGAAGACAAACTTCCATTCCTTGATATTCTCATTACCAAATAGAATGATAGCAGGCTACAAACCCAGATTTACAGAAAGCCAACACATACTGACCAGATCTTAAATGTCCACAGCAATTACCCCATAGCACATAAGATCAACTGCCTAAGAACTATCAACAGAGCAAGAACATACTGCAACTCCCCAGCACTCAGAAAAGCAGAACTTAACTTCCTCCAAAATACATTCAAGAACAATTATCCCACCAATTTCAAAAAAATGCACTAGGAAACAAAAAAGAACAGAAAGACACCCCATGAACCATTGCAATAATATTCCCATGCATAAAAAATTCACCAAAACATACCATCAGACCACTCCAACTACTAGGCATCAACAGTGGCCCACAAACCTACAGAAACACTACAAAGGATTCAGTACAAACCATAAGACCATATACTTTACAAGATAGAACTAAAGTATATGAAATTAACTGCCAGGATTGCAACAAGCACTATGTAGGGCAAACAGGATACCAGCTGCATCAAAGAATTTAAAAACTCATAACTGCAATAAAGAATCGTGTTTATAAATATTTAGTGGCCATTGAGGCCCTTGGTACAAATCACACATTTGCCTGGGACAATACAGAAATACTGTAATAGATAATGCAAATAGCAGGAGAGCCATAGAATTTCTAGAAGCCTGACACTCAAGTTAATGGGCCATCAACAGATCAATGGAGTTGGATATAATCTACCACCCAGTCAGGTGCTTCATCCAAACCATACACAGTAAGCAGATAAGGTGGACAAATCAAAATGGACAATGCCATTTCCAGCCACCAATTAATTGACAACCTCTCAGGAACCCTCCAATCACCAATTAAACCCCCTGAGTTCAAATCTTACACAGATTACAAATACTATAAGGCAACTTCCATTTCTGAACTGTTGCATTGAGGAAGCCTTGCTGGATGCAGAGCAAAACTCCTGAAAAACCCTCTGAAAGCTTGGAGAACCTGTCTACTAAATTTCTATATCCATTCAGCCTATCAGAAGACTATTGCACATACGTTCTGTCTTTTTCACCAGTTTGTTCAACGATTCACTGTCTCACTTCAGTGATAAAATCTTTGGGGGATCCTGGGTATTGCAAAAAAGGAATTACAGGGCACCAATGGCTTTTGGATCCAAGGCTACCAATGCCTGCTCTAAAGCATGGTTCACTTTAAAAAATTCTGTTTGAACTGTCTGAATAACACCAGAAGTTTTTCTTTTTCTTTCTTTTTTTCAGACAGAGTGCCTGGATTGGATTGAGACATGCAACCTTATTTTGTCTGGAATGAAGGTGTCTCCCACCAATTTAATCAGCCAAGAGGAGCTTGTACATTACTTTGGATTAGAGGTAGTGAAGAGAGAAAAAAGGTGTTAAATTTGCATTTTACTTTTTAATGGTGATGATGTTACCTTGCATTTAGATGGGGTGACCATGTTTTTGGCCCCAGGGGTCAAAACACTTTCCAAATTGGGGCCCATCAACACACCTATCCACCTTACAACATACCCTCTCTATGTTCTATATATCCACATACTCTCCTCCCTGGAATACACACACGCAACATAGTTGAGTACTATTACTGTTGTGGGATGTTGTTCTCTACCTTTTCTAACAATTGTACTACCATTCAGCAGAAAATCTGTGATCTATTCCCCACTTAATGAGGCTGATCAACTGGTTGGCAGAGAATAGTTCACTTGTGTTCTCTTGCTATTCTGTTGGCTGGGTGTATGGGATGCTCTCGCTTGCACTATTATAGTATGATAACTAAGAATTTATTTTATTTTGGTTTTTGAAGGAAAATATTAACTTCCTCTGTTTTTTAAAAAAATTCCTAGAAATCAGACACAGAAGGTGTGCATCTCAAAAGTAATTTGAACTGTGGTATCTGATATAAATAGCCAGGAACATGGGAATATTGCATTGTGAACATATGATCCTAGCTAATGAGGATCAAGCTGTTTTTATCTCCATAGTACCATTCTGTATTCTATTTCTTGGCCACACTAGAGTATGATATCGTGTTGCAAACTAGTTTTTAAGATTGCAGAACAGCTTTTGAGATTCCCTTAACAGAAGCAATTTTTATTAATTTCCTCTGCCCCTTATATTTCCCCAAAATTTATTCCAGAAAATTGGGGCGATCCTCCAGAGCTGCAGAGGTGATGATGTAGGGAACAGAACACATCTTTGCCTCTTCCTGCTAGCATAAGTCTTGACTAAATTAAAGCCCACATTTTTAGCATTGCACAAAAACCTCTGTATTTTAGTAGCCTATTTTAGTAGCCTACCCTTTTTTTTTTTTTTTTTTGGTGCCTTCAAGTCAGTTTTTCACTCCTGGTGACTGCCTGGACAAATCTCTGCAGTTTTCTTGGCAAGGTTTCAGAAGGGGTTTGCCATTGCCTACAGTACTTCCTAGGGCTAAGAGAGAGTGACTGGCCCAAGGTCACCCAGCTGGCTTCATGCCTGAGGCAGGACTAGAATTCACAGTCTCCTGGTTTCTAGCCCGGTGTCTTAACCACTACACCAGTTACAGAAGACTTAATTGAAATTATCTATGTATCCATTCAGGAGCTCTCTTTTTTATTACTCACTTTAGCAATGATTATACAAAAGCTGTCTGGGATAATGATAGTACTTAATATACAAAAAGTTACATTTTAAATAAAACACTACCAAATACCAACTGACTGATATAAATGACCATTTGTTCATTTGATTTTTACACTAATATTTACAGTGAATTGTTTAATAATACAATTACAGGTAGTCCTCACTTAACAACCATTTGTTTAGTGACCATTCGAAGTTATTGAACCATTTGTTCATTTGATTTTTACACTAATATTTACAGTGAATTGTTTAATAATACAATTACAGGTAGTCCTCACTTAACAACCATTTGTTTAGTGACCATTCGAAGTTATTGAACCATTTGTTCATTTGATTTTTACACTAATATTTACAGTGAATTGTTTAATAATACAATTACAGGTAGTCCTCACTTAACAACCATTTGTTTAGTGACCATTCGAAGTTATTGAACCATTTGTTCATTTGATTTTTACACTAATATTTACAGTGAATTGTTTAATAATACAATTACAGGTAGTCCTCACTTAACAACCATTTGTTTAGTGACCATTCAAAGTTACAACAGTGCTAAAAAAGTGACTTATGATCGATGCTCAAAGTTACAACCATCCCAGCACCCCCGCGGTCATGTGATCATGATCCAGGTGCTTGGCAACTAGCTCGCACTTATGACAGTTGCAGCATCTTGGGGTCATGTGATCACCATTTGTGACCCTCCCAGCCAGCTTCCAGCAAGCAAAATCAATGGGGAACCATGTGATTTCCTTAACAACCACAGTGATTCACTTAACGACTGCTGCAAAAAAGGCCTTAAAATCGAGTCAAATTCACTTAACAACCACCCCGCTTAACAACCAATTTTCCAGTCCCTACTGTGGTCGATAAGGGAAGACTACCTGTAATAATTTAAAATTAAATCATCCAGTTAAAATCACATGTCTTGAATGTATCAGTGCACTGCATTTAGCTCCTAGTGGTGAGATATGGGCAGCAGTATATTGGCTTACAAGACACCTTACTTTGTATAAAATAGCATAAGGTTGTAATGAATGTTACATGGTGTAAAGAGTTAAGAATTTGAATCTGAGAATGTATGTATCAAAGATCAAGGTACTGTAGTTTGACAGGAAAATAAAGTGAACAATTGGAAGTTATACAGAAATAGCAAAAAAAATAAAGTAGATGAATGTGTGCTCCTTGATGAAATGTTTATTAAATATGGTAAAATGGATCGAGAAATTTCAAATGGTGCAAATGGTGATAGAAAGGTAATGAGTAGCAAGTGGTCTGTTGCAAGGAATGACCATCAAAAGAAGTGAAAATGGCTGTATATAAGCCATATCAATGCAAGTGTTGGGCATATCAGAAGTAAAAAAGTAAATAGAATGCAGTGGGAATTGGTTATTTAAGAAGTGTATGTGTGGAAACAGGAAGAGATAAGGTCAAGAATGGATAATTTGCTCAATGAATGTCTATAACATAAATACGAAAAGAAGTATGCTGAAAGAATGAACTAGGATCAAATTACAAAACAAAGGTGTGAAGGAAAAGTGAAGGGGAAGAACAAGAAAGTTGTGACTGAATGGAGTTGATGAAATCCTCAGAAAGAGAAAAGTGAAGAAAAATTAAAAACAAAAAGGTATATGTAAATTGGATACATGGAGGTAGTGAAAGCAAGGGATTTGTTTGTTTGTTTATATTTATTTAAATAATATAACATAAATACGAAAAGAAGTATGCTGAAAGAATGAACTAGGATCAAATTACAAAACAAAGGTGTGAAGGAAAAGTGAAGGGGAAGAACAAGAAAGTTGTGACTGAATGGAGTTGATGAAATCCTCAGAAAGAGAAAAGTGAAAAAAAATTAAAAACAAAAAGGTATATGTAAATTGGATACATGGAGGTAGTGAAAGCAAGGGATTTGTTTGTTTGTTTATATTTATTTAAATAATTTATAAAACCACCCATCTAAACCTAGTGACTCTGAATACATAAAGCATAGAGCAAAATAAAATAAATACAATACAATACAATGTGACCAAAGCTCCAAGCAAAACAATCCCACAAGACATCATAAAACATACAGTACATATCAGGCTCAGTTAACATCCTGGTCCCAATGCCTGGGAGGAAAACCACGTCTTCAAGGCCTTCCAGAAGGTTGGCAGGATCAGGGCCACCTGAATCTCAGGGGGAGGCTGTTCCACAGGGCAAGTGCCATGACAGAAAAGACTCATGTCCTGGGTCCTACTAGGCGACACCATTAACAGAAGGAACTCGGAGCATGCTCATCCTGCCAGATCTGGCAGGATGGGCAAAGACAGGCAGTTCCACAAAAAAACTGGCCCTGGGCCATGCAGGGCTTTATAGATGACAACCAGCACCTTGAATTACATCCAGAAGCTTACTGGCAGCCAGTGCAGCTCATGAAGCAGTGGTGTTACACAGGTGTACCAAGGTGCACTCAAAATTGCATGCACCACTGCATTCTGGACGAGTTGCAACTTCTGGATGTTCTTCAAGGTTAGCCCCGTGTAGAGTGTATAGCCATAGCCTAACCAGGAGCTGACTAAGGCATGAATGACTGAGCAGAGCCTCCTGATACAGGAACAGGTGCAAATGACACACAAGATGGATTTATACAAAGGCTCTATTGGCCATGGCTGCCATCTGCTCTTTGAGCAGGAGTCATGAATCCAAGAAGATTCCTAAATTGCTCACCAACTTTGTTCAAGGGAGTGCTATCCACTCCAGTGTTAAAGATGGAACATCTCCAGATCTGGGGAGCCCTAAAACTCACAGCCACTTGGTCTTGTTAGGTTGAGTTGAAGTCTGTCCATTCAGGCCCCCACAACCTCCAGCTATCGGGGAGGAACCTTGACAACATCACTTGGACAACTAGGGGCAGAGATGTATAACTGAGTATCATCAGTACACTGATGAAACATAACCCTGTATTGATGAGTAACCTCACCCAGCTGCTTCATGTAGATTTTAAATAGAAGCAAGGAGAAAGTTGAGCTCCGGAGGACCCTGCAATGCAGAAATCTAGGGCTGGACTCCCCTGCCCTATCAGTACTAACTGGAAGTGGCCTTGGAGAAAGGAGAACTACCTAAAACCCTGCCCCTGCCCCCCCAGCCAATGTAGTAAGAATACCATCCTTGACAGTATCAAAGGCTGATGAAAGATCAGAGAAAGCTAGGATGGATGCACTACCCTCATCCTGAGCCCAGCAGAAATCATGGACAAGTGGAATCAATGCCATCTCAATACTATAATCCAGCCTGGAACCCAATGATTTGCAAGGCTAGAAAATTATAGAGAAGTACAGTGAATGGGATTGGTGTAAGGTAGATTTAACTATATTACCTTTCCCCCCTCTTATCCCATGCTTTTAATTTCTTTTTCTCACTATTTCTTACTCCTTTTTTGCACTTCAGAGGCACTGCTTATCTCAAAAGAGAATAGCAGAATGAATATAGATCTGCATGTATGCATGTAGTAAAACTATCCAAGGACATCCAATAACTCAGTGAGAGGAAATGGCCAGGTCCATTTTTTCTGAAAAGTTTTACATTAATAAAAGAATGCCCTTCATAATTCCAGGGGGGGTGAAGCTTACATGGGGATTTGAAGAGTCGATTATAAATGTAATGGGATATGTTTAGACAAAGAATTATTCCTATTTAATGTATTAAA